CATCTTTCTTTCCTTCCCTCCTATCCTCCCTCCCTCCCTCTTTTAGCGCCGATTTTCCCTTCCTCCACTCTTGCTTTTATATTTCTTGTCTTCGCCTGCCCTCTAAAGGCCAAAGGGCTTTGCGCTCTGTATGTAAATGCCTGTGTGGTGTGAAACAGCCAGACTGCATCTGGCTGGTGCATCAGGCAGTGGCTTTCACTCAGCATGTGAATTTCCTCCCTCCGCTAGTAGCTTCAGAGCTTAGGTTATAGTGGGGTATTTTTGCATCAAACACACACACACACACAATCACACACACAGAGGTTGGTGTAATTACCCTATGCTCTCATGTAATCCCCCAGGTGCAGTATTTATCTCCAATGCAGCATATCTGACACCCAGCGCCAATACCTGGATTCACTTCAGTCACAGTCCCTGCACCAAAACCATTCCTCAGGCGGTAGTCTCATAACACTGTGTTGTATACATGTATTACATTATAAGCAGCACGTGATGCTATTTCCGTGTCTTCTGTTATGTTGAAATATGTAATTTAGCATTGGATATGACCATTGACATCTGTATCGAGTGCAGTAGAGTTGTGTGGTGGAACATTAGAGGGTGTCTTATGTCCTATGATGGATAATAAGGAGCGACTGATTCTTCTGTTCAGTCGATGGAACGAGTAAAAACAGATATGAAAAGGTGAAAGACATGAGCTGACGCTTAATGGAAATAAGGCAGGTTATCATGCAAATGTGACAAACTGCAGACACTGTCACACAGTCGGTTGTGTGTTCTACAAACAAACATGCAGCCTTCAAACAGTCAGCCTCGCGGGCTTTCTGGCAAGCCGAGCCCAAGCCTGTGCTACGGTGGCCTCTTCCTCCCCATCACCAGTGTCATCACTTTGGTTGAAGCCTGTCTGTCAGTGGGGTTTAATGTGATGATGGTGGAGAACACTGGGGAAAAAAGCACACACGTTATCACTTTTTGTTTTGTTTTTTTTTTATTCTAGTGCAAGATTTCTTTTGTCTGATTGTAAATTACAAATGTATTGTCTTATAATGCAAGTGATGCTTTGTATGGTTATTGTCCCCACATGTCCATTTTCATCCAGTGTGCATTTCTTGCACTATTTCTAATATGATTTTGCCCTCTCTTGTTCGTTTTTATGTTTTCTTTGCTCAATAGCAGCTTAAAGGTCATTGCATTGCAGCTAAAGAGGACTGCTGCTTTCATATTTGATGAAAAGAGAAGAATTAAGTAGGAGTGATTGAATTGAACCTTGTATTTCCTCTTTACTTATTTTAAGTTGAAAACACTCTACAATGTGCTTGGGTTCATGGCACAAACTTACAGCCCACTTGTGGAGCTCTATTAAGCACTGAGTTTCTCAAAGGAACACACAACAGGGTATATTGTGAAAAAGGAAAAAAGTACTACTTAGAAAGCCGTCCCCTATTTTTCATTTTATTTTATTTTATTTTTTAAGAGATAATATAGAAAAGACAGAAAAGACAAAAGATCCCCACCCCTTCTTCAGCTAACACTTGAACGTCGACCTGAAACTTTCTACAATGTGTCAGGCCAGGGTTGACTTCACACATTACAGTGGATGAGTGTAATGGCGAAGACAGCTTGTTATAGAAACCTGGTGATTATGACCTGCTGTGAACAATCTCACTCTGTTTCACATACACCGCTCTGCCTCTTCTCCCCGCTCGCCTCCCCCCACCCTCCACCTTTCTCCTGTGGCCACTTTGATCAAATCTGCGCTCTTACGTCCTTGACTGCTGCCCCCGACGCCTGACCCCAGCATTCGAAATTTGCTCGCTTATGTAAAAGTTTATGTAGATTAATGCCACAATTTATGCAGATTGAGTTTTTGCCACTCAGACTTGAAGCACTAAAAGGTAGATGAGCGTTGACCTTCCCCACTAACGGCTACGTGAGCTCTCATCGATTATCTCATAACTGCTACAAACAGTGTAGCAGACAGAGGTATGAAGAGCAATTTCAAATTTCATAATGTTTCATTTTTAAACTTTTTTTTTTTTAAGTGTCGCTTAGAGGAGGAAAAAAAAAAGGATGGCTTTTTATAAAAATGGAATCTGGGAGGCTTAGTAAGTGCGGTTTATGTCACAATGCAACACACGCACATGATCGTCCCTCCTTTAAAACATCATGCTTCCTGCAGCCCCACAGTGTCTGTCAAACAGAAACAACTGCCAGCAGTGGTATCGAGCAGTCTTTCAGCTGTCTGTGTGTCATTCCGAGCCTCCACAGAGCCGTAAACTTGCTCACAAGTGGCACCAGCATTGCCGAGGTTGAACAGTCAAGTGCCATCAAAAGCAGTTTGCCACAGAAATGGGTCTGTGTGAAAGCAAACAAAGGGCTCACACTTGACTCGACCCGCTCCACGTAGGCTAAATGCACAGGGGCCTGTCTGACACTGGAAAATGGCTTTCAGCCTGAACAGAGAAGCAGAAGAGTAGAGCGTAGAGGAAGGTGGAGGGGGGGGGGTGAATGTCACCATTATAACTTTGCTGGCTTTCTAAAAGGAGACGGAAAAAGTGTTACATTCAAGCAGAAACTGTCATCTTCAGTTTGAATGTAGTGAAGCATGTCTGAAAGGGCCATGTCAGGGTTATTGGAGGTGTTTTTGAATGTATAGAAATTCCCGGAAGCTACGAGCCTAGATGGAGTGTTTGCAGCACAATAACAGATGTTATGGATTAATGCGTAACTTGAGTGACGTTATTGTTACAAGCCACTTTTTTTTATTTTTTGTATCACAAGCTTAACAGATCAATTTGCTGATGTCACAGTCACTAGTTAGTCATCCCCCCCAGTAGCACCCTGTTCTCTGATGAGCTCACTCACAGGAGCACATAAAAGGAAGGAAAAGCAGACCCTTCATCAGGTCACTAACCCTTACACAAACACAAAGTGACCCGCCAGTCAGAGAGTTGAGACAAGGTGTCAGCTGATGTTACTGCTGAAGTGAGCTAAAAGCCTCAGCTGGCAGTGAGTGCCACTGGGACAACAGCTGTTCATTTAAACTCTCTGCTTCACACACTGTTTTTTGTTTGGGGAGGGGGGACTCTCCGTGACTGTATCTGTGTACTGTTAGTGCGCACATACAGAAATTCACAATTTAGATCGGTTGCGGTGTCCTGCCATTGACCCGTGTTGTCTCTTCCGCCTTATTTGATAATGACGCTGCAGTCGAAGGTAGCTTTGGCTGCATGTCAGTTTTATCTGTGTTACTGTTGTCACTGATGCTTCTGTTTACATTACACTCATTAACACTAAAGTCTCAGACCAAACTGCCACTAAAAAATATTTAAAATCAGATTTTTTTCTACTGCACCATAGCTTCAAGTACATGTTAACCTCTGTGTTTCTAATGTTCTGCCTTAATTTTTACAAAAGCACTTTCACATATGGAGACTTGTGACAGTAGTGCCTCCCTGACTGTTGTCATTGTCGCTTTGAAGACTATGGAGTAATGTTTTGTCGTATCAGAACAAGTAGTTTTAATTTGTGTTTTAAAAATAAAAAAGTTTGTGTGATCTGATCCTGTACATCTCTGTCCCATCTTAGGATCTGTTCTTTTACGCCAGACGGATGGCCACGGTCGGGTCCCGCTGGATCTAGTCTCTGAGCCAAGTCAGAGGGAAGAGCTCCTCCATAGTGCACAGCTTGGAGACACAAAGTGTTTGAGAAATAAAGCAACTGAAGTTAACCTTCCCCTCTTGGAGGCTGGATCATCTCTGCTGTCCCTACTCATTTTCTCCTACCTCAGGGAAACGGCCATTCCTCACCACACACCAACCAGCGACAAGCACCACAGCCTGGGCTACCGGCTGGTCAGGGCACTGGAGAGGCACTCCTTCCAAAAAGTCACTCAGGGCTGGGCAGACCAGCGGGCAGTGAGGCTGGTAGAAGATGTCGAGACATTGTGGGAGCTCAGCCAAGGGAAGTACCAGGGACAGGTGTCTCAGGGTGTAATAGAGTGCAAAGGAGAGAACACACAGTTCCTGATGAAGATATTAGAGGATCTTAGGTTGCGAGGAGAAGCACTAGTAGGTGATCTGTAATCTGTAAGGTTAAAGGATTACTTTACACCACACTGAAGCTGACTTAAATGCATAACCTGTGAGTGAAAGTGAACAAAAATGTAACTTTTTATTACATGGTCCTAAAATTTGCCAGGGCCTTAAAATAGGTCCACAGGGCAAAAAAAAGTCTTCCTGTGGATATCTGCCTCTAAAGCAAGCATGCAAGTTCAAAGCTGTTCATTTCTTAAGTGCTACAATTTTATACCCACTAATACCTAATGTTCATTGGCTTGGTCTGTTTATATTGTATATTTTCGGGAGTTTTACAAGTTCTGTGTTTTGCAAATATTTCTTGAATTTAAATGTTATTTATTTTTAATATTTCAAGATGCATGTTTTTGTATGACACCACTAATGTTTCATTTCAGTGTCGAGTGTTGCTACCTCATGTTTTCTTTTTTCTTATTTTTTTTGCATGTTTATAAATAAAAGTGAAATATATTCTTTGATTATTTCATTACTTCATATAACAATTCTGGCAGCAATATATCAGATATCTTAACAATATATAGATATGTCTTTTTTTCTTTGTAAAGAGCAAGTCTTGGTGCTCTGGAGATGGAGGTGTTTATATGTTGGCTACACAAAAAACAGTTATCCAGCAGTTGTGCTCTCAAATGGTTTCAGTGATGTACGCTCTGGGTTTCAGCCATGCAGGCATCAGTGAAGAATGAGGAGCTTCGCAAAGCTGAAACGAGCAGAGGGGCCTACGCCCATGTGTTGGTGTGTGTTGGTGTGAGTTGAGTGAGCGGTGCAAAGGAGGTGACTTCAAGCTAAAACTGAGAGCAACAGTCCACATTTCATTAATTTCTTTCTACGAGCATCTTTGAAACAAAGCTCGTCAGTACAGAAAAAGGGGTTGCAATAAATCAGGAAAAACAAGATGATAAAAAATATTTTAATTCCATTAGTTTCTTTTAAATGAGTAAAATACATCAGATGCATTCCATTACTCATATCAGAAATATATACCACATTTTCATTTGACCCAACCCTGTCTTGGCTTCTACAGCGTTGCTGTCTGAAACTCTTATTGGTCAGAACTGGGCACATAAAGATGATGTCACAGGCAGGCAACATTGCAGGCGGAAAAAAGACAGACCTTAGAAAATGAGGCAGGCATACACCTACTTTACAGCATCATCACCAGATCATTGACAGGCATACTGTATAAAATACAACCATAAATTAATAAGTAATTAGCTATGTACAGTACGGTTTAAAAAATAAATAGTCTCATTTCAACTTGGTGCAAATAAAAGTGCTTTAAAACTGTCAGTCTGATACATTCCTTTTCTATAACTCATCTTCTTGACATCATACAAAATAAAAACACTTTGGTTTGCTTTAAAACAGAGCCCAAACGAAATATAATGACGAGAAAAGGAGTGAGAGACAGTTTTTGGATGCAATGCTGCACTATAGTCACCACAATTTGCTGTAAAATGACTACATATAGTAGTAGACGCATACACATCAGGTATTCTAGCAATCCCTTTAGGCATTATACAAAGCCATCCCTCACGAGTCACAGAGTGGGTTTGCTGAGGAGGCTGTAATCAGTTAGCGACGTCGCTCTTAGGGGATAGTCTGTTATTGTCTTTCAAGTGGATTCCCTTAACAAAAAAAAAAGAAAAAGAAAAGCAGTGGTCCTTTGGAGTGACAGATCTGAGCCTGTTGATATTTAAGCATGGAGATGGATGGGCAAGGAAGGAGGGAGCGGAGAGAGTAGACAGACGAGGTGAGAGGGTGACAAAATGGCAGAAGAGAGCTAGTTGCGGTGGGAAGAGAGTTTAGAGTATAAAGGCAGAGACACAGACAGACGAAGGGGGGTGTGGGGCAAGCAAAGCTAAAGAAGTAGAGGCTGAGAGATGGAGGCAGGGATCAATAGGATGAGAGCAGACCTCCTCAAATGTAGCCTGTGCTGTGATCTTTCAAGAGATGCTCAGCGAGAAGCCCAGGAGACCATCCCTTAAGACAGGGTCGCAACCCCGCTCACTGACGAATGAGGGAACCGCAGAGAGAGCAAATGGAGGGAAGCATGACGGGAAGAAGGATCTGAAATAGCATAAAACACACACATACACACATACACTCCTCCTTCCCTGACATCTCAGGCCTAAGTCCCCTTGGAGCCTTGTCACACAATGACTTGCTGCTCATCTAGCATCGAAGCAAACTCTACACCAAGTAACAGCTGGCACTTCTGCTGCAACGCACACATACACACACATACACACACATACACACACACACAGCGACTGGATCTAGGCGTCAGTCTACAGCTGGAGGGGAGATACAACTGTAACGCACACCGACACTAAGAAAAGCAACTTGTCTTTGATTGCATAAATGCGTATACGCAAACACTCTTACATACACAGTTCACATATACAAGCCTCTGTCTCTGGAAAGACTGATCAAAGTTGAGCTTTGGGCACAGGAGGTGGGGCAGATGGAGAGGGCGGCCAGCCTGGGGCACAGCATCACAGAAAGCATGTTTGCGTTTGTGTGTCAGTTGTTGGTGCGCGTGTGACTGAGAGCGGGGAGAATGTTCCTGTTCCAATACAATGTTTTTCATCTGTCAGCGTGCAGGTACAGTAAGGCGTGCGTGTTCGAGATCTCTGAGAGGAACTGCGCGTTTACGCGAGAGAAGGATGTTTGTGCCTCCGAAACACAAGATGCTTAAGCGCAGAAGCATGTGTGCGTGTGGCCGTGAACGCGCTCGCGTGTGGCCACCGAGGAAAACACATGGGGGAGATGAGAGGGAAGGAGACCAGCCTTTCAAACAAGATTAGAGCTGCGGCTGCCTCAAGGCCCGGCTGCCTGACGAGACTCTGCATAAACTGGGTGACATCTATATTAACACCACGACGGCGGGCCCAGTCTGCCGTGCCGCCTGACAGAGAGAGGAGGCGACTCCTTGAATGACAGAGGATTTTGACATGGTTCAAATGAGTCAAACGAGGCAACAGCTACTGGTAAAGTTTTCAGGTGTAACACTAATTGTTTACTACAGACTCAGACCTAAAAAAAGGAAGTTAATCTGGCCATTCTATTAAAGCACAAACAAGCCTTCAGCCTGTTGATCCAGGTTTGTGTTTGTGTAAAAGGAGATATCTGGAGGCTACCACCGTAATTGCTAATCAACTTGGCTGGCTGAGTTAAGTGGAGACAGTCCAAATTACTGCCAGTGAAAGTAACACTGCCACATCCAAGAGGGAGAGGAGAGAAAACAAAACACACTTCAGTAGAAAAACAATTACAAAATATAAACATATTAACAAAATCATTCAATAACTTAAACAGGAGCTTAAAGAAAGAAAGAAAGAAAGTTGAATGCGGTATAAGGCTTCTCCCTTGATAAACACACCAAGTGTCATTTTCTTTTTTTTGGAACAGCGAGAATAAATGTTAAACTAATTTTACTTATTGTGTGACACTTGTGGGAAGCTGTCAGAGTGATGGAGAGAAGCAGCAAGGAGAGTGGCTCACACGGCTGATGTAAAGGTCATTTCATCCATCCTTTCCACTTGCCTTTAAAAAAAATCTAAAGCATTATGGTTACGGTAATAATTTAAGAGGTTTCTCGCACTCATTTTGTTTCATACAAAAAAGGACATTTTGGGAAACGACTGTACACCATGAGTAATTAAATAGGAAAAAAGAGTTGAAGAGAATCAAACAGGAAATAAAAACAAAACTGTTAAAGGATAGCTGAGCCGAGCTGCTCCAGAGGAGTCGTCCTCTTGTTCCTCGGTGTCCAGTAATAGACCGAGTGAGGAAAAGTGGAGAAGAGAGGAGTTGGTGGGCGGACGCAGTCATCTACCCGGGGTTGTTTTTCTTCCTTTTATTTGGACTGGGATTGGGATCCAATTTCAGCTCTCGGTACTGCACCTGTTAAAACACATAGAAACACGCACGCACACACACCACCCGGTCAGGTGGAAAGAGCAAAGGATGCTTGAATAGCACAGAAACCCTCCAGAGGCTCTAGTCCAGCTGTGTGGAACAGTGGCCTCAGGGAAGAGATTACACACTGATTACAGCGCACACACACACACACAGATGCGGACGCTCACACGCGCGCACACTGACACAATACGTGTGCGCTGTTCAAAGCTCCGACTGCGTGCTCGCTCGCAGATGCACACAAATACACACGTACTTTCACAGATGTGCTACAGTGGCCTAGGGGAAGGGATCACACAAACAAACAAAGAACAGGGCAAGGGCTCATGGGAAAGCTTGGAGAGACAACAGAGTCATTTTGGTATAGCAAGATGGCGAGGAGTGAAAGGGCAGGAAGATGGGAACGAGACAGAACGAAGGAAAAAATGCACCATAACCCGTTCAGAACCAAGGTTTTAACAACTGTTAGCAATATTAATACACTCCTCATCATATGCAGCTTGATACATACTGCTTTTATATCAGAAGGATTATATGACTTGCTACTAATTTAGGGATAAAGTTACATTTTGATCAAAAGGAGCCAATTAAAAATATCAGGAAACTAAATTCTCTGACCAAATTTTGACTCTTTGCTGTATCCTTTTCTTGGCTGAGAGATAAATGAGCACACTGGAGATTTTCGTGGGACAAAATACAATCTCTTCTCCATGTTTCACTCTATAATCAAAGCTGTATCAGTCACAGCCAGGCATCTGACATGGAGAGCTTTCCTCCTTCTCAGGAATGAGTGGACAGTACGGATGACATCCACCTGATGAGGCTCCTGCTTCTGGATGGGCTTTCCAGCCCTACGCTTATCCCATGTCAGCTGTTAAGTGCAGAACAGCGACATCGTCTAATAACATGACTAAGAAGGCAAAAGGACGATTTTACTTTAAGTAAAGCCCCAATCTGTTGCACATTTGTATACATCATGACCCTATTAGGCCACAGCTGGAAGAAGCTGTTTTATATTTTGGGATATAAATTTATTTGCTTTCCTGCTCAGAGTTACACGAGAAGAGCGATACGGCTGTCACATATGTCAGCTAAATAAGGAGCTGTAGCCAGCATCTGGTTAGCTCAGCTGAGAGAAAGAGAGAAACAGCTAGTCCGGTTCTGCCCAAAGCTAATAAAATTCACGTAGTGCATAAAAGAACAGATGAGATTTTACAGCTGGTTTTGCTGTGGATCATTTCTTGATCAGGAGCAGCGACCTCCTGGAGTCTTGTTGTTACCATTTTAAAATTTGTTTTTTTGTACAAATGAAGTCAACGAGATATAATGTCTTCATTGTGTGCTTTGGAGGTGCTGGCAGGCACATTTTGTTACCTTTGGCAAGCTCTAAGCTGTTCCTATTGTTTGATACCAAACTGAGCTGTGCAAATCATATGTCCGTGCCAGTTAATGGACACATATGAGAATGGTATCAGTCTCGTCGCTTTTTTTCACAGCAAGAAAGGGAAAAACAAAGCTTTTCTAAAATGTTAAACTACTCCTTAATCCTATAAATTACCAGGACATTATTTTTGTATCTGCACTGCATCGCTAAACCACTTTAAACAGACATTTTAGTTGCGTATTGCCTCCCTTCATCACTTCATAAGATGCTTAGCGTCATCACTCAGGGAGTGTCACAGTATGTCTCAGCAACAAGAATTGATTCACTCTTGACAGAATCCTTTCCAAAGATGGTGAGCCGATCCTAGAAACTGCTCTTACGTGGAAGTGATGGACAGTCAGATGCAAACGGCATCACAGTGGCTGAGTATCAACAAACAGAGGCTGTCACACTCGCTTTCAAATGTGCACATCCGTGCATGCGCGCACAAATGCAGTTGCTAGTCTAGACAAACTCAAGGAAGCGACAAGCACTAGCCACTGAATCGGAATACTAATAGAAAAAAAAAAATAGACTTAACAGTGACTGCACCAAAGAGCCAGAATCGTCTGAGGATTCCCTCCTAAGTTGATGTACTATAGGCTACTCTGCCTGGCTGACTGACTGACACTCTCTCTGATTCTCCAGGAAGACAACAAACCGACATCAATATGGTTTCTCTGTTCTGTCTCATGGTAGTTCTGTCTACTGTGGACAGGAACAGCAGCATCTTTCAGCACCGACTGGGAACAAGCCTTTATCATCCATCTTTTACTGGTTCCCACTGTCGCTTCAATGAAGCCTTCCAGTCCTGTGCCTGCAAAGCCCAAACACATGTCCACATGTGTGTATGACACATTCATATACAAATGAACACCAGCAAAGAGAAAGAATGCACAGACGCCCACATACAGAAAACCTAGGCACTTTGTTATCATTATCAAATCATATAAAAAAACAAACAAACAAACACACACACACACGCACACACACGCACACACACACACACACACACACACACACACACACACATCTACAGTGGGTTATTTTGCTTCCTCTGTCTCACAGTGCTGGTCACCAATGTCCCGTTAAGGTGCTTACAGAGTGGTTAGGCCAGCATGTGTTGCTCTCTACGCCTCACTAAGCAGCCAGACTGCTCTGATTCCGATCTGGATACTCCACACTGTCCACAAGGCAAGCTAACAACATACTTGTATTTATACAAGGTAACATACAGCTGTACAAATACAGTCTGTTTGTTGGACACAGTCAGGAAAGAAGTAAGACTGCACGCCGAAAGGCAATCCAGGTAGAGGAAAGGAGAATGATGAGGAGCAAGATAAAGAAGGGACAGAAATAGGCAACAAAAAAAGAACAAATCAACAAAGGGAGAAGGAGAGAAAACAATGAGAGGAAAGAAGAGACTGGGTGAGACAGTGAGACAGAGGGATATCTGTGGATGCTCGGGTGATGACAGATATGTGGGTGGGGATCCTTTTATAGCCATGCCAACTAAAGCAGACAACAGAACAAAAACCCAGGGGACAGAGACGGGTTTGTATGGCCCTGTGTGTGTGTGTGTATGTGTGTGTGTTTATGCAGTGGTAGTTCTGTTAGGGGACCATGACAGTGCTGGCTGAGTGCCCACATTGACTGCAATCAATGACAGTGGTGCATCTGTAGAAGAACAAGTGGGTGAATTGCTGAATGATTGAATTCACTCGTGAGCAAAGGAATAACAGCACGTCAGCGCGGACATCTATTGTACTCATCATCAAATAACTAAAAGCAAATTAAAAAGATCCAACTTTAATAAAGTGTTTCTCCATATGTAGCTCATTCACATCTTTCGCTGTTAGTTTTAAACAAGTCAGTATGAATCCAAAAAGTAGGACAGGTATTGTGCGTGATCACTGAATGGCCAAACGCCTACAGGAGCAAAGAAGATACACGGCAATTTAATTCCGTGCGTTGACATTCCTGTCCAAACAATTCCTGTTTGTGAGTGAATGCAAACAAAGAAAAGTTTGGTTGTCAGTAGAAAGTAAGGTTTTGTTTCTCATGAAGAGTTGTGAAGGGGATCAACAAAAAGAAATAGTGCCAAAAAAAACCAACAACAACAACAATATTTCAATCAAAACAAGAGTTTTCACTGTGAAGAGCTGCCAGCCGGGAGAAATGGGGGCTCATGCATCACAGGTTCAATTCCAGCTCGCAGGTGACAGGCCCGCCTGATGTTACACCCTTGGCTCCCCACTCACCTCACCTAATAGCACACACGCAAAAGCACCCACACAGGCGCCAAAACCAGTGGAGGCAAGAGCTAGTTAAAGTTAAAAAAACAAAAAAAAACAAAAAGGAAGAAGAAAAGGAAAACGCAGAGGAGGCGAGGAGAAAGTGGGACGTTAGTAAAATAAAATGAACCAAAATTGGGGGGAAAGTAAAAAGTGAGGTAATGCAGCAAGCACACGAGCAATTTGGTACACGAGCGGGGAACTTAAAGGGAACATCGACAAGAGAAGCGGCGGGTAAAGACCCAGCACTGCTTAAAGGCTGCTCCACCCTCGCTCCTCTCCTTTCCCAAATGTTGACAGTACAAGTGCAAAACAGGCTTTGAAGTGTGCTCCGCTGAAGGGGAGCGTGTACCATGCATAGTGCTTCGTTTAACCGTGTTACCCACAAAGCATCCCAGGACCTGCTCTTCCCTCACTGCCTCTCATGTTCTCTCACCCCCTTTCACACTGAACCTTTGACAGTGTTTTGATGTTGCCAGTGTGGGCAGACAGACAAGGCGAAACCAAGGTGGCTGATAGTGAGCAAAAAAAAAACAAAAAAAAAGGCGGGGGGAAAGAAAAACGCAAATAGGCGAGTAAATAAATTGATTCAAAAAAAACCTGAGCGAGCTATATTTTAACGACACTATGTCATTCTCCCTTTCAGTCCTTTTTCGCGCAAAGCACGAAACTCGCCGGGTTTCATCTCGTGTGACACCTAAACGAGCATAAGGGTTATTAAATGTTTCCAGGGAAGCACTGCTGTGTACAGTTCAGACATCTGCAGATTGGAAGATTCAGCAATCGTGTCTATTGTTGTGTTGGAGAAAAGGCATTCCAAGGTGACGTAAACCAGTAAGTGAGGAAAAAAAAGTAAGGAAAACTTTTGCCCGTTAGCTGTTGTGACAAGACACAGACTGAATAGTGACTAATTGCCCTCTTGCAATGAAATGTTTAAACCTCTTGCAAAAGTGGGAAGGGCACAGCGAAGGAGAGAGAGACCTCTAGTAGATGTGAGTGATGGCATTTGGCACCGTTTCAGCCTTTAACTATCCTGCCTTTGTCCCCTGCACGTCCGATGAGGTTTCATCCCCAACATAAATGTTGTCTAAAAATATTAACCCGACTGCCCGCTGTTCATTAGCCGCTAAATTGGAATTCATGCTTATTTTTGTATTGGGGATTTGATCCAGCTCCTTTACACCGATCATAAAGGGCCACTTGGCATGCTAATTGCCTTGCCCCCCATTTACGCACTCCCTGGCTCGCATGGCTAATGGTGTCGTAAAACATACTAGTGCGCTGACACCTCCCAAACACCAGGTAGGGAATACTTGGCGCTATTAAGGTCCTGAGCATGGCCTCGTTTAAGAGGGTATGAAGGATTCCCCGGTATCATCCGTTATCACCAGCAAAAGATCCAAACCAGACACAAGAAACTGTAATCCAAAGAGAGATGGTTGCTCCTTTAAACACACGTGTGCTAAACATCATGCCAGCCTTTAAACATGGGTGCTCACAGAGAGAGATAATGATTTAAGTAAACTGTTGAAGTGGTAAAAAGAAACTGCAGCTCCCAGGCTCCGCTGGTGATTTAGCTTTTACAGGGTGTCTGGCAAAGCTGTTAGGGGCCTAGTATCAGTATTTTGAGAGACTTCCTTTGGTAAAGTGCCTTCCATTCACTGTACGAATGCTGACAAACAAATGTTACTGCAAAGTCATTCCCATGCTACGCACAATATAAAGAAAAATTAAAAATTAGGGAAGACTAAGGCTATGTCCCACAGCTTCTGCCTTGCTCTATTGTATAGCCTCAGTATATGCAGCGTATGAACTGTGGACCAGTGTGGCTGCCCTTTGTATAGAAAGTCATTAGAACCTCATCAGTTCTGGCAGCACTGAAGCACCTTCAAATGATGCGGAACAGTACACTGAAATACCCCAACCCACCTAACATGCACAACGGCTGGGAAAACTCTGTGTGTGAGAGTCTGTGTGTGTGTGTGTGATTATATATGTGTGTGAGGTCACACTGAGGCCCAGAAATAGTATTCATTAGTCATCCAGGATGTCAAGCATAGTGGGCCCCTGCACCAGTACTACTGGGTGCCATAGACACGTGCCCGTGAGGGGACACTCCATTTAGACCCCAGCACCTCTGTGCATCATTTGAAAGCCTCAAGGGCTCAATCCCCACAGACGTCTTTGACCCAGTGAGACGGGGGCAGGCAATGAGGTGAACCCACCACCGGAGGCAGCGACCGGACGCACTGCAGAGCAGAACGTTCCGGTCTGTTTTTAGCCAATGACCGCAGAGCAGGGTGCCTTCTCAGAAAACTAATTTTTCCGTGACCATCACGGGTTTGACTAGCTGAATTTCACTGACCTGTTCCTATTTGCAGAAATAAACATTGGCACTGGCTTAACGGGCACATAAAACAAAGTTTTACTCTTGCTTTCTGCCCTCATCGCCCCTCATGCTTTTCTATTTTTGCCTTCATCTTTTCTCTATTTTTACCCTTCTCACCCCTTCATTCACCCTCGTTGCTCTCAGCGCCTCCAAACTCTCAGTGAAACCTGGCAACAATTACCATTTCAACAGCTGCAGCAATAACCATTACAGTAGCACTTACAGTATTACTTATACAGTAGGCACAACTCCAGCAGCATGGGCACCAGACCAGAGCACTGTGTCTGCCCCCTCTTTCCCTAGCCAGCAGGCCCTCATTAGGGGCCTTGTAAAGGCCTCATACCTGCCAGGCAAGGGCCCCTTCACCCTTCAACTCCTCCAGGCTCCAGGTGTGTAAGGTGGCTGCACTTCACCAGAGGGGACAGCTTGGGCTCATTTAACTCGATGGCTACTTGCCCTGTGCCTGCTGCTGCAGCAGGCCCCTGTAAACTACAAAACTGTAAAACTGCACGGGGGCAGAGAGGGGGAGTGGGGTATGGGGGGCTGGCAGGGGTGCGTAGGGGAGCAAGGATTATGACCCTGTAAAGATGAAAGAAGTTGCGGGCAACAAGCGATCAAAGAGGAAGTGTGTCAGCAATGATATGGCAGGGAATTGGTCATATCAGAGGCCCCAGGTCGTTCAGTCTCAGCCTCCATCTGTGTGTGTTTGTGTGTGCGTACTGAACTCAGCTCAGCGGGGCCTAACAGCCACAATGGAAACCATTGGTGCTGGATAACACAACAACTTTCACAAGCTGCCGCTTAATTGCAGTTTAAACTGCACTAGGTTCTGGGCAGCACAGCATGTTACTGTTAGCATAGACACACACACACGCACACACACCTATATTTTACCTGAGAAAGCATCTGTAGTCATCAGCCACAAAGTTAATCTGATCTCACGGTTAATGTAGAAGCAAAACCGCATGGGGCTGGTTAAGTCTTGGTTTACACTCTGTTTCAATTACTAGCAAAGCTGTGAGACAGCATCTAACTGTAATTGTGTGTGAGTGTACGTGTATGGAGTCAATCAACCTAGTTATATGCCGGCCACTAAACTCACTTAACCTTGTTATCTTACTACACAGCTCCTGCCATGTATGTGGAAATTGAATTAGACTTGGAAGCTTTTAATAGGAAAACACAGAAACAGCTTTGAAATAATTAGATTAGGTGTCTGTGTGGCTAAAACAATGAATAGTCAGTTCAGCCTACATGAAAGCACAACAGTGAGGAGTCAGAGACCACGAGGAAGAGGGGGAAAGAAAACAGAGGAGACAGAGGGGATAATAAAAGAAGCCCGGAACTGACAGATGATGATAGTCATCTCAAAAAAGATATAAAAAATGAAACATATAAAATTTCACCCACCACTTGTACATCTGAGGGCACTCTGGACAGAAAGTCTAGCAGCTCGTTGTTATCAATGGTGTAGGGGTCTCGTAGCTTCTTTGTAAATTTATTCACTCCTGCAGAGAGAAAAGTGGGGGCAGACGGGTAAGAATTGAAAGAAGGAAAGACGGACACATCTTTATATTTGTTGTACTGTCTCTGTGTGCTCACACAAAAAACATCACGGCACACAGATTTATTTAGATAGAGTATCCGAATGTTCTTATATACTATATGATGTAATAAAAAATACAACATTAGCTCACCCCAGGCCAGCACAATGTATCGGAGAGGGATGAAATAGAGGATGATGGTGGCCACTCCGAGAGCCACGATAGCTAACCAACTTAAGAAAGGCACAGTCCAGTTAAATGTGCTGCAAAGAGAGGAGAAGGAGAGTAATATAAGCAGCAATGCTCACTCCGGATATAATAAAAACATGCTGAGAAATAATGTAGGAATGAGTAAGCAAAGTTTAACAGCTTGCAGGGAGAAAATTTTACACCTTTTCGAATTCATTAGAGTGTGAATGTTAGAAAGCACTTAGATGTAGAAAAGCACTTTTTGAGAACCAGTTCTTTTACTTGTATCTTCAACTCTAACTTTTAATGAAACAAAACAAACAAAACTTTCTGTGTATGAACCGTATGTTAAAAAAAAGGCTGTCAGTAAATACAGGTATGTAAAAAATTAATAAATAAATGATTTTGTGTAAGTGCATGCAGTGTATTTAATCTAATATCTGCATGACAAAAGGTAAAGCAAGGTCAAGTAAGATATGGTGGACATAAAGACAAGCAGTCTTTCTATTTGTTCTCCAGGGTTGGGTGTCACACTGGCATTAATTCTTGAGAGCGGCACTAAGTTATACTCAGTTATGCTGGCAAAGGGAACCGGCCAGAGTGGCAGAAAAAAAGAAAGAAAACACAACCAAAACAACAACACAGGGACGTGCGGAGCAGAGCAGAGCGGGCCGGGTGCCGAGGAGCAGGCTTACGACTCACTTCTTTATCCTCTCGCCATAGGAGGCCACTTCATCTAGCGCATTCTGCACACTGATGCACACGTCCTGAATGGCATAAAGCTTGTTCATGAAGCCCTTTCTTTCTGAGTCCTGCAAGAGGACAGATAGAGATGTAGGCGAGAGACAGAGAGACAGAGAGAAAGCGAGGATGAGGGAGGAAGACGTGGAGGGAAACAGAGAAGAGACAGGAGGAGAGAGAGAAGAGAGAGGCTGGGCACAGGCGTCTTTGTGAAAACAATACATTTTAAATAGCGTCAAAGATTTGGAGTGGGGAGCCAAATCACCGGATATCCTGCATAAAGTGACAGAGTGCTTTCATTCCAGGCAGTAATAGAGATATAAAGTTGGCAGAACAAATCAAAATGTTTTCCTCCTTACGAATCCTCACACAGGCAAAATTTGAATATGTGAATAGGCAGAGAGAGGAGCAGAATTAAACTGAGAGCCGAATGGATAGATCAATCTTTGGGCTCGCTCTCTCTCTCTGCTGCTGCTGCCAACACAGCTTGGAAGACCAGGCAGAGCTCTCTTTTGTCCTCCTGGCTGGCACAGTGTGATGATGTCACCAGCCGTGACATCATTATCATCCTTATTAACACTGTCACTCACCACCAAGACTTCAGAGTGGGAGGGGTCGGGGGGGAGTCACAAAATAGGCAGGAAGTCTGAAGTCGACAACCCCTGCCCTTCTTACCGAAACAAAGTGAAGAATTTAAAAAGTCATGCAACAGTCAACGAGCTGCTGACTGACAGGCAGGGGCACGACGGATCTGGACAAAATGAGGTGACAGAGAGCAATTAAACGCCATTGGCTGAGTGAGGACATCGACACGCAGACTGGTTGTTGCAATATGTGAATGGTGGACATGCTCGGAAGACAAAAGGGTAGAAAAGAAAAATCCAGGAGAAAGTCATACGAGTATTATGTGCACTATCGTGTTCATAATGTGGCAGGAGGAGGTGATTTTTAAACAAATTGGTGAAGGAGGAGAAGGCTGTAATTACAGGATGATCATGTGAAAGTTCTCTACCACATCAATGGCGTAAACACCTGTAATAGAAGAAAATAAATTATAGATGCCAGAAACAGTGAGATAAGAAATGGTTTGAATGGAATAAGTTGAAGAAAGTAAATATTTTACACAGTAAAACAAAAAAACCCCTCAAATCTTAATCAAGAAAAGTTTCCCCAAAACCAAAAGATGATGATATAACCACACATGCCTAGTATTTCTTTCTGTGTGTAGGAAAGACTATGTTATTGATGAAGATTGATGGACGTTGCTAGATTAGAGAAGTAAAGCTCTAAGTAATTATAACTACCATCGCCAAAGAAGACAGTGAAGCAGTCAAAGACCTGAAACCTTCAGGACCTCAAAGGCCTTTACCACATTTCCATCTTGAGGCCAGCCACCTCACCACAACCCTCCCACTGAGACCCAAACTGCCCCCCAAACCCACCCTCGTCTTTTTGCTCTCTGTCCAGGATCAGATAATGTGAAAAATGAACCATGGAGCAGTCAGGGAGACCACATGGCCTCCCCAGCAAAACCACACAAGACAAATAGATATAATTAGACAGCGTCTCTGGGTTATTTTTCTTCGCAAATATTTTACAAGACTCCCTTTCTTTCCTCCTCCCGCTGTCCTCCTCTTCTAAGGCCTTTCCTCAAAGTCCATCTGTTTTTCATTGCTGAGTCAAACAAATCTCAGAACGCAGGGTCTATTGTGCTGGGCTTGGTGAGGCCGAGCCGAGCCAGGCTGGGCCGGGTCAGGACGTTTTATTTTCGGTCCTGGGCTCAGGGGAGAGTGTTTGAGGGCCACAGGAGTGGTGTGAGATACCGGGCGGGGGTGGAGAGGATAAGTCAGAGGTCATTTGAGTATAAACCATTGCCACATGCCCTTCGGACTGTGGTCTGACTCCTATTTCCTGTCTTCAAACACGGCTTGGGGAGGTGGGAGGTAGCAATAACACCGAGGGCCACGGAGAACCTTGTTTTCCCAGCTTCCCTGCACACTGCGCACATATGGAGTCAGGCAACCTGTTCTTATAATGGAACCTAATATGCACACAAACACACACACCCTACAGCTATTAGATAAGGTTGATCTGCACACCTGGTCTTGCTGCGTGACTCTACAAACAATATCCCAACAGAGATTAGATGATAGGGGTCCTTGATTTCAAAAGGCGGTTTCTTTTTCTACTGAGCATGTTCGCACTATAGTGTCATGACTAATAGAGAAAGTACTCATATCAAAATAAAATCTGCGCTCCTCAAGAGCAGATCCATTACAAGTTTTTTAAATAAAAGACTTGTTTTTCATGCTTTGGGCACACGTATTTTGCAAGAACCGTGTGTTTCAATTAGCTCACATGTGGTAAGTAATTAGAACATGGTTTTTCCACTCTTGCCCAGCTTCTTGTCTCACTCAGGAGGAGCGAGTGCTTTACAGGAGTCTTAGGGCCTGTATTTCCATCTGTGTCTTCCTGTTTCTGTCAGGGAGACTAAGTGGGTTTGTTTGGAGAAGTGAAGGCAAGGCTAGTAAAATCGACTCTGGCTAGGCCTCTCTCTGATTTAGCTTGGCCACAGATGCAAGCCATTTTAATGCTCAAAGTATGCTACAAATCCCAACACCTACAGCAACCCGGTCGTGATGGATGATGCCGCTTGGCTTGAATCAGCCAGGCAACATCATGAACTTGCCTAATGTGTTTAGCATCATTAGTTTTAAACACGCCAGCTTCATCTATACACAATCGATAGACAGACAGACAGAAAGACAGATATTTTCACAGAAAAGTCAGCAGAATATTCTACTACTGTGCATTAGACGCTCCATAAAGACAGTTGGTGAATGAGATGCTTCCTTGTGCAGAAGGAATTACTTGACATCAATTAACTATCATCAGGTTGGAAGCTGAAATATTTAGTGAGTTGGTGTCCTTTGTTGGGTGAGAGTTGCATGTTTTAATGGCATGGATGCCATTTAAAGAAAATAAATGCATCCCTATGTCCAAGGTTTGCATCATTGTTTGGATGTGTGAAGTGCGGTTTGAAATCTCAGCCTTTATTGCCCAGCAGCCGAACAGCAATAAAGGCTCGTTAAAAGTGATGTGAGTTGTTTATATGTGTTAAGGAAAAATAACCCCTCAGTGATACCAGAGAGAGCCCAGGGACACTCTCTCTCACACACACACACACACACAGTCAAAGAAACAGCCAAGTCAGGCTAACCACATTGCACTTGCTGGTAAATTGTGGTAAACAAATGTGGTAAACTCCTTGAAAACTAACTTAAATATTTAACAAAGGGAAGATGCACAAAGCCCGGGCGCACTCGACTGTTCCATTTCTCTCTCAGAAAGACACCACCATCACAGCAAAGTACATCTATATGCAAAAGTGCAAAGTGAGCAGTTGTAAACTTTACAAAGACAGTTTGTTCTTCACTGACCCAAGGCCTAGAGCTAAACAAGAGAGAGGTCACTGAGGACTTAGCCTATTAGGTTGGACTCAAATATCTGTCCTATATCTACTTGGTGGAAAAGAGAGAGCCATTGGAGACTATTTTAACCTCTGATCACACTGTTCTCCCTGCTGATTTACGCCATAAAAATGATAAACCTAACCGTTATAATGTAGCGGCATATATCCCATCAAACTGCAAAATGAGTCTGAACCACAAGTGGCTGCAGCTCGTTGCCGCTGTGCTAAAATTGCACCTGTTTTTCTTTGTTTTTCCTTTTTTTTGCCCCTCTCACTCTGGCAGCACAGTAAAAATTGAAATGTCATATAAAATGTGACAGGATGCTAATATGTGGCTCCCAGAGGGCATCTGAAAGCGTTCTTGTTGATTTTGTAACTGCAGAGAGAGACGACATCCCTCCCATTTCCACCCCAGGAAAAAAAACAACAACAAAAAAAAAAAAACCCCACTGAAAAGTTGAACAACTTGAGGAATGCTAGAGGGTGACACGAATTCAATTTCCAAAGCCTGCGAAAGAACTAGCAATGACACGTTAATAAATAGTGCATATGATTAGCATCTACTGTATATTTAAATTAGGTGTGTCGCTATCTACTGAACAAAAAAGAGAGCAATGATTTTGTGTTCATAAAGATGTTATTTGGGCGTGCATTTTTTTTTAATTAGTGGAAATAAAGAAAATGATTGATGAAAGTGCATGTCACTGGAAGGAGAGCAGGCCTTTATTGGTTCATTTGCATTCACCCATGGCATACTGTTCTCTCTAGTGGCGATGTGTCGAGCACTGTACATGAACCACAAGTCGAAACAGAGCACTATAGAGACAGCTTAAATGAAAAAGCAGGAAAACATAGAGAACACAGAAAAGAAAAGCTTCCAAAATTATATTTTATATAAATATAAACTCCAGTTTTCACTGCTGAATTTCTGTTAGTCAGCACCTTCCCCTTGTTTCTTGTTTTTAAGATTAAATCTAACTGTTTGTGAGCTAAGCATTTTTTGTGGTTTATTTTTCCCATTTTCATGTGTTCATTAGCATTTTAAGAGTAATAAAAATATCAAATGAAGCATGGAACCCATTTTTCTTATGTTGGCCATTTAAATAGTTCAGCTGCTCTAAAGCTATTGTGTTACCGAGGTCTATTCCAAGTAATACCAACTCCACTGGGGACAAGATGAGTCACAGATTTTACCAATTGGGAGTTAAGAAAGGCCCCCTGGGGAATAAAAAAAGAAGAAAAAAAGGACCCAGTGGCCTAGAATACCATCTCTTTTCTGTTAGGAAATGACAACAGGACAAGACAAAGACCCTGTGAATGGCCTCAGATACCACCCTGCAACCTGGCGCCTCGCCAGCGCCACATGAAAGGGGCAGATGTTCAATTTTTTTTTTTTTTAAAGCGGTGGGTACCATTTTAGTAAATAATTTATCCCATATAACAGCTAATCCATGGGCAAATGGGTGAGGGGGGATACATTTTTTTCCATCTTGACCTCTCTTTCTCTCTTTTTTTAAACATAATACAGAAATATTTGTGTTACTGTGCTGTTGAGATGCACAACACGTCCTGTAAAGACGAGAAGGGGCATCCTGAATCCTGCTCCTATAGGCCGGAGCAGAAAGACTGTATATGTATTTTCCTGCGTTCACATGATGTGCTGCATTGCTCGTTTGAGAGAACCTGTGTGTGCCGAGGGTTGCTTCAACACAGTCAAAGACAAGCTCCAGTTAAGACTGTCAGCTGAAGGTGGCCCGCGCACGCACAATGCTCTCTAGCGCTAATTAGTCTCTTCACCCAGCCAAGTCCCATTGCGGGGATACGTTTACACATACTGTATATAAAAGAGAGCGTTAGGGGGGAACGAGAGTAGTGAGTTTTTAAAGGAGGCGGCGCTAATATATTTTCAGTTTGACCTCTGCTTCCTGTCCTAAAGAGAAAGGTTTCTGGCGTTATGAGTGTGAGTTTGTGTGCGTGTCTCTAATGTGTCTGGTTGGCAGGAGGTTGTTTGCCACTGATCATCTTTACCCATATCCCCGTGGGGCTTCTCATCACCTCCACCACACCAGCCACTCTATCAAGGCTCAAGGTCAGGTGCGCACACAAAAACATAAATGACTACTACCTCTCAACTTCTGCTCTTGATCACTTGATCACCTTCTCCTGGCCTCCCGCTGCATGCCACGCCCTGAACCGCCATCCTACCTCACCTCTGCTCCCCCTGCTCCCGCACTCTCCTTCCCCTGTCCTTCCCAGGAAGCAGCCTGGCGGAGTGTGATGAATGGGACGACATTAGTCTTGTCCTCTGTTGGCCTGGTTTAGCTGCTCCAGCCCATCTCCCCTCGTCCGTCAGTCTGTCAGTCTGTCAGTCTGTCTAAGTGCGTCTGTTTGTCTAAGTCTCTCTGTCCGGGTTGGCTTAAAACACACAGCATCCCACTGTACTGTCAAATGCCTAAAAGATGAGAGTAATATCAGCTTTCATATTTTTAAAATCAGGGAAACATACAAAACTCAAAGACACGCGTGTCACATTTTTAACTACTCTCATTAATGACATCATATTTTAATCTTGCTGGGGTGAAATTGCACCTCAATCTGTAAAACCTGCTAACCTTGGCATGTTTTTAATTATACATTCATGTTCAGACACAGAGGAGATAGAAAAAGCTGTAAAATCTACTGTCTTAAACTTTGTTTTGGAAAGGGGGAAAAAAAACAACAGAACGAGAGTGCATTGCTATGAAGTGAAGGGATCACATCTTCAAAAAAGTAAATAAAATATGCATCCTCTCTGTGCTCATTACAGATTTATGACTCTTGTTAAAAGAAAAGGTGGCGGCTGCCTTCTTACATGTCTGACTTTCAAATTCAGACGACACTGCTGTCAAGTGTTGTGCTCCACATTCTGTCCAATGAGAGACCGAGAGGGCTGAGTGTGTGCCATCTCCAACATCCTATTCGGCGAGAGTCTCGATAAGAGTTACTTTGGGTGGATAAGAACACGCAAGAACTCCTCACCTACAGTGCAAGGATCTGCTCGTTGTAATCCTTTGATGCATAGTTCATCAATCAAAAAGTTCAGTTGGTTCAGCCACTTGTGTGTATGCGATTCAGAACAATAACAGTTGGGGGAAGTAGTCATTGTTGCATTAGGCATAATGAGCATTGGGATTTTCTTCAGCAATATGTGACAATTTTGCAGTTCCTGTAGCAACTTTAAAGCAAAAGCGCTGAGAAAAACATTTAAATCACTGTACCAGCCACCGCACACCCATGCACACACACTCAGGGAACTGAAACTCACTCGAAAATTAGTTTGTTAGCTGTCTATTATCAGTGACTTAGGGGGTCATAAGGTGTGAAAGTAGTCCTTATGTGTGAGTGAGTCCTAATTAGTACTTTCAAGGAAGCTTGAATCTAAAAGCTTACTTTTTGGCATGCCAAAAAAAACAAAAAAACTACACCAACCTAGAAGAACATTTTATTCCCTTGTGCTCCCTGTTTCAGTGCAAACTGTATCAAAAATAAATAAGCACAAAAGCACTCGAGTGACTCCTATGTCACCTTTTATTGCCCCAGAACCAAAAGCCCCACCAGCAAAACACACCGTCACACCTCAGTCTACACATTTCACCTCAATGTTTAACAAGTCTACAATGCCACAGGGAAGTCAAAGACAAAGACAGGGGCCGCTTTCCATGCTGGAGCTCAGTAGCTTCCCCCATTACCTTAAAAAGCAGGCACAGGCAGAACCCTTGCAGTGGGTTTGGATTTGGAGGGTCAAACGTGCAGTGTGTGTGTGGGTGTTAATCGAGACGCGGACATGGGGGACAGGTACTGTACACAAACCCTGACAGGACGGCACACAGAGGCCGCTGGACAGACGATGAGCTAAAAAAGGGAACTGGGAGACAGCAACAAACACCATCGGGAGTCGGTGCCAGAACCACACACAGATCAACTTACCACCATTGCTCGTATCCATTCAAAGTGCCAGGAAGCCAACATATCCTCGAGGATATGGTTTTTATCACGGCTGTCCTCCCAGGGGCCTGGTTTAGGGTCCTTGTGGATAGATTACAGTGAGATGTTCTCTTTACAACCCACAGAAATTAAAGTCAAAAGGTTTAGAAAATGTGGATGTTTTGCAGCTGTGGTCTTATACATTTCTATCACACTGTGCAGGAAAGAAAACAGCAAAAGCACTGCAATCAAAACAGCTTTAGCCTGGCAATGCAGAAAAGATTCTTTTTTTCAGTGCTCATCTTTATTTAAACTTTGAAACAACAGCATTGTGTAGTAAAATTCAAACTAAATATGCATCTCCCTGAGTCCACTGGACTATTGCATATCTATCAGGATGAGCGCCCGTGTCCGCAATCTCTACAAAGACCGTGGTCACTGCACTGTAGCGCATAAGAATAGTGCCGAAAGCAAAGTAAAAAAACCAAACCAACAAAAAAAAGACCCATGGTGCAAAAAATAACCAATTTTCATTTGAACCGGGCTAGAAAGACTGAGAATGAAGGAGTGATGATAGAAAGCGAAAGACAAAGCAAGAGATATGCATCTGGGGGGAATAGAGATAGTGAGAGATGATCCACCTGATGTATGTGTGTGACAAAGAGGGAAAACAAACAAACAATGCAGTGTGTTTTGCATAGACAGACAATACTCCTCTCTGCCTCTTTCACCCTCCTTTTTGTTTTCATTCCTGCCTCTATTAGCAAAACATGATTAAAATGCAGTTCCTACCAGCGTCTCTGCTGAACAACGGGGGAGAAAAAAAAAAAAGACAGTGAGATGGGAAGAAAAATGAAGCGGAAAAGTCAAAAGCATCTTTTACAGCGTGACGCTTTTCATCCTTCACAGGCGGCAAGAAGAAAAGACAGACATTCAAACTTTATTCTCTTCCCTTCTCTCCTGCTCTGTCTCTTTCACCCATTCTCCTCAGCAGCTGAACCCCCCCGATACCTGCATCTCAAGCTCAATAGCCTCCCCAGAACAACATTTCAGTCACACTTTTTTCCCCTCTTCCAGAGCATTGATATAATTCCCAGTGCGCTCTTTAGTCCAATTACATTATGCCATGCCGTTATCTGAGTGATCGGCACAGTGCCGTGACTGGGACTAAGAGAGGAGTGCGGTGGCTTAGGGAGGTGCTACAGAAGCTATCTGGAGACAAGTCGTGGAAACAGCGCTGCATGTGCCCTATTTAACTTTTCATGGAGCGCTCGCTTAATAGTATTGAGTGGAGAGAAAAAAAACGGAGAAAAGTTGTGGAGAGAAAGACGACAGTCAGCCACATTTGAAAAGAAACAGAGATTCTGGGTGTTAACATCAACAGCTGAAAGTGGCTGTGAGGCCTGCACTGGATATGTGTGCTGATACTAGCCATCCATCAGCAGTTATACGCTTGCAGGAGAAGAAGCGATGAACACATACACACACACACGGGCAGGATTGTGTGCGCGCATACATGTTCTGTATGTTGTATGAGTCATGCCTGCAGGGACAGCAGCAGAGGGTGAAATGGCTGTCTCAGCACTACAGATGAGTAGGATAAGGAGAAACTGTGTGGCGGTAGGAAGAAACGGGGGATTCTATATAACTCATCAATAGCACCTTTAAAATCTACTACTGATGTGTCAGGTTGGATGTACACACATTACATGAGGATATCCTAAATACTAGAACTATATTAAGCCTCTGCCTCAATAGGTTAAAGAAAAAAAAAACTAAATTATAGAATAGCCGGTGGGTTACTGTTTGACCCCCAAATCTGATGCCTTGAAGAACTGGGTCTATTAAAAAAAACGAAGACAAAACATTCACATTTTTTCAGGTCAATGTTCAAACTAAGTAATAACGTCTGCTCTATATTTACTACGAGGAGAAAAACGAGTCGGAATAATCGAGAAACCAAAAAGATGATTTGGTACATGTGGTATGTCTGTGTATGTGTGTGTGTATGTGAGCGAGATATTGATAGATAGGCATAGAGGGAGAAAGAGAGAGGGAGTGCACCGAGCAGTAAGCCCGTGAGCAGGACATGATTGCAGTGTGTATCTTATCTGTGTCAGGTCCTCCTGAGGCTAGTGGAGCCTAGCTGAGCGGAGCACAAGCGCTTCAGTGACCAGTCAACCGTGTGAGGGTAATCTCCTCACTCCTTCAGTCTGTCTCTCTCTCATTCACTCTCTCTTTCCATTTTTCCAGTAAGCCCCCCTCTGGGAGGCAGCTGAGCTGCACACACATCCACGTGAGACATTCACACAAACACATCAACGCACACAAACACGCACACCCGTGCAGAGCCTAAAGGCTACTGGCTCATGCCAGCTCTGGACAGCGAGCCCACAGGTGAGTGGAGACATCACAAGCTACATTATACGCTTAAGCCCCTGCAGCCACATGCTTGTAAATACAGGAATGAGCAGCGTGTTTTTGCTATCTCACACTGCTCAAGCTGTATTTCAAGATGGTGAAAGGGGTCTACAAAGATACTGCAGGATGCAGTTTTAAAAGTGTAAGACAGATTTAAAAGAAAACCATGGATTTGCTTTGTGTAAAAGGCCACAGATAATTGAGGAAGTCATAGACACTTGGGCCCGGATACCTGTCCATATCATTTAAGAGATTCATTTTGGCATTTCATAAAAGAAAATCAAAGACGTGATTTTATAATCAACAGCACAAGCTGAGTTAAAGGTTTTTCGATCATAAATTAGACTACAGGACTCTCAAATCCATGAAAAAAAATTTAGGCCTTTTTATCCCTCAAACACTCATCCTTATATGTAGTATAAATAATAATAACCGTAACTGTTAAATCCAGATAGGCAATTTCAATAAATGTGTCTCTTACGTTTATGTGTTACATGAGTAATGCACTTTGGGATAAAAAGAAAAAAATTCCATATTAAGGTGAGTGCACACACACACACACACACAACGTGAAGGAAGGGAGAAGACAAAAAGAATTAGTTTATGTCTAACATTCTTTCACCCTTCGTGTGCTTGCCTGTTTGGCTTTAACAACTCAGCCGTCCCCATCAATTAGTCTAGATGCTGGACTTTCATTGAGATTAAGTGACTAATATCAGTGCTTGCTCACAAGAAAGACACTTTTCACGTCTGCCCAACAATCTGTTAAGTCATAACACATGTGGTAATCCAAGGCAAAAAGCCTGCAAGGGGTCCTCTATGCAATGAAAAACAGGTGCTCTAGTTTTTGGCCATGTAATACCCCATTTACCCTCTGGAGCAAAGGTTATCCAGCTAATAGCTGCCTTGTGGTGCACTGGGAAGAGCTGTGCACATGGCCCAAGTAAACATCTGGGACGGATTGTACATACTTGCAACATATGCTTCAAGTTCAATTAAAATGAGGCCTTGGCACATTTATTAATCTTTTTTTCCTCTCCCTTTGCTCTCTCTCTCTCTGTTGCTCTCTTTCTCTTCTTCCCACTCTCCCCTATAGGCCTGTGCCGTTAAAGAGGCCTCCTTTGACCCGTCCTTCATACTTACTCATACAATCTGAAGCTGCAGCTCATATCCAATGTAAAAGACCTCATATCCAATGTGAAAGACAAATTTGCTAAGCCCTGAAAGTCCATTTGTTCTGCACTTAACCAGGTTGGAGGGAGAGCAAAGGGAAGAGAGTGTGTGTCACAGCAAAA